ATGGCGGTCCGGTAACTAAGAGTGAACCTCAAATAAAACTCTACTTTATGATAACCTTCTATTCTAAAGTTTTTTTCCCAACTATTTACGTTCAAATTGGGTGAACTTGGAAGTTAGTCAAGCTGATCGATTAATACAAGCTACCATTCGTGGACACATCGCAGAATAGTACTTATCCTAGCAGACAGAGCTACGCATTTGTCATACCCACTTGCGAAAACGGCAACTTCCTCTAAAAGGGTCAGAAATTAGCAAATATTTGCCTCAATTTGTCATGAGCATTGGCATTACCAAAAGTAAATTTGAGCTACCCTCCAAATGCGTTTTATATTTCAAGCTGTATACTACTTATAAGGCGACTTAGTTCCGACTTGCAAAAAAGAAAGAAGAGCAAAATAATACAATAAAAATGAGAAACTGTTAACATGTTATAAATCATGCCTTAGATTCGAGTCATTTTGTCCGCATAAACCATTTTTCGCATATAAACAGAGTTTCGAGACTACCAGTACCAAAAGTAAATTTGAGCTACCTTCCAAATGCGTTTTATATTTCAAGCTGTATACTACTTATAAGGCGACTTAGTTCTGACTTGCAAGAAAGAAAGAAGAGCAAAATAATAGAATAAAAATGAGAAACTGATAACATGTTATAAATCATGCCTTAGATTCGAGTCATTTTGTCCGCATAAACCATTTTTCGCATATAAACAGAGTTTCGAGACTACCAGTACCAAAAGTAAATTTGAGCTACCTTCCAAATGCGTTTTATATTTCAAGCTGTATACTACTTATAAGGCGACTTAGTTCCGACGTGCAAAAAAGAAAGAAGAGCAGAATAATACAATAAAAATGAGAAACCCATTTTTCGCATATAAACAGAGTTTCGAGACTGCCAGTACATCAGTTACATGAGATGTAATCACCCTATTTCGTTTAAGGTGGTAGTAGGATTTTTCCACAATGATATGAATAGGGCTGACGTTTCCATAGAATCTTTTTTCCGAATCCCATTGGAGGTGTTGTTAAGACCTATGCGAGTTGGAACCTGCAGTCCAGCCTGGATGAGAACATCTTTTGGGAAAGCAAGGCTATGTACAATTCAATGAAAACGTCAGTTCTACTCATATGATTGTGGGAAATTTCTTCTATCAGTCCTTCATCACTTTAAACGAAATAGGGAGAATACATCTCATATGTATAACCAATTGTCAATGCTCTACAAGAATGCTCTTAAATCATACGTACTTATCTGTTTTTCTAAGTTATTTCATACACGATCATGACCGCGTTAAGTTTACAGCACTGAAGCGCTATACTGTGAGTGACTTGGTGACAACCTTCTGATGCTATTCGCAATTGTGAATCGGGTACAAGTGACCTTTCGTGTGTTTTGAGCGTAGTTTAGACCTCCAGTTATACCAACGAAAACGAGTGAAAATGAATGGACTCTTCAGCAAACAGGTATGTGCATCTGTTTGCGCTCATCTGCCTACGCGACTGGGAGGCGGCCGTATGGAGCTCATTGGTGACAGTCTAAATGGCAGTACAAACAGACTCAAGGGAGTCTGAGTAAACTCGATTAAGAGATGGAACGACGTGAAATAATAATGAACACAATTACAAGCAATTACCGTTTATCCACTGGTTTAATACATCACCCTCCCGTCGGGCCGAAACCTTCAGCTCCCTCCATTAGTCGCCACTTCACTCTTTCCATCGTCCATATTCACTTCTTGAACGAGTTTCTCTCTTCGAACGATGCATAACTTTGCATTATGTCAGAGTCACGGTTATCTGATTACCTCCTGATTGGTCCTTTGTCTGCATTCACCGAAACCGGCCTTTCACCTGCTCAGGCCTGACCGTTGGGGGCGGTTCGGCCGGCCAACCGATAGGCATAACTCCCAACTGAATATCTCGAAGCCGGCCGAGTTGGCAGCAGCCGGTACCAAATTCTGAAAATGAGAGACGAGGGAATGTCAGTTGTGCTGTAACCCCCCGGCCTAATGAGCTGGCTGCAACCGAGGTACAAAAAGCAAAGTCTAGTCGGGCATTCATGAGTGCCTCGACAGACTTGTGGCTCTATTTCTCTCTCTCTCTTTGTGTGTGTGTGTGTGTGTGTGTGTGCGCGCATGATTGCCCCGAGTTGTGGACACTATTGTTCCGGTGGTCTGGTCAACTGGGCCAGGTCATGCAAATAGGCCAGGTGTCCCGATTGTGTCATCCAATTAGACTCACTTCATTTGGCTCCTATTTTCGCCTTCTCTCCTCTCCCCCGGGTCGACTCACGCCAGTCAGGACGCAATCAGACGGACGAGCACATCCAGACTCGCGGCGACAATGCCATTTTAGCCTCGGACAGGATCGACTCTCAACTGATGTTCATGTCGGAAAATTGAACTGTTGAGTTGGAAAGGGAGACTTATATGAAGAAAAGTTGGGTTTCGAGGAATCTCTTGTTTCATAGTTGTTGGGATTACTTCCATTTCGA